GATGAATTTAAAGATTAGCTATTCTTGCATGAACAATATGGAAAGAATTATTAACTCACACAATAGTAAAATCTTGAGAGACCTTCATGAAAAGCATCAACATGCAACCGCAGGACAGGATCAGAGTGCCCAGTTGAAGGAATATGCATGGCGGAGAATACAATATATGAAGCAACACTTTTCCCCAAAGAGAAGGTTAAGGAGAGAAAGATATACATAGGGATATCGGCGGGGAATTGGAAACACCGACTGTACAACCATCGCCAATCCTATAAATGTAAAAAGAACCAAACGGCACTGTCAAAGCATTATTGGGATTTGTTGGAGGGTGGCCTAACCCAACAAATAAAGTGGAAAATAATATCGAGAGCCAGAACTCCAAACAATTTCAGAGACAGATGCGACCTATACATGAAAGAGAAAATCCTCATAATCAAACATAAAGATCCAGAATTATTGCTAAATAGACACAATGAACTAGTTTTTAAATGCAGACACAAAAACAACCTAAACCTAAGTAAATATAATAGGAAGAACAATACTGAATGACCTTTGATCTTTTTGCTGTTGGAAATATTACTATGAGCGCGAACACATGACTGTATGTATATGTCTATGGTATTGTACTTGAACACTGATATACTTTTTGTTGCGTACATGTATATGCGTTTATATGGAAAGAGAGACATACAAGCGTTTTTTGTGAGTGTGAATGTGTATAACTAGATGGGTACTTATATGTCTTGCCATAGATATGGGATATCGGGTAATATATGTGTAGAGATATGTATAATTATATGATTTTGTGCTTTCATAATGTAATTACATATTGATATTGATATGATCTTTGAATGCAGGCATAATGTGTGGACATGTTCATGTATATGTATGTGTATGTCTATGTATATATATATATATATGTATATGTGTGTGTGTATATAGATATATACATGTGTGTGTGTATATATATGTATAGATGTATGTGTGGGTGTGTATATATATACGCATGTGTGTATGTGTATATGTGTATATGTATATGTGTATGCGTATATATGTGCATATGTATGGATGTGCATATGGGCATTTGTGTGTGTATGTGAATATGTGTATATGTATATGGATTTACATATAACTTTATGTGCGTGGATGTATATATATACATATATATAAGTATATGTGTATGTGTGGATATGCGTGTAGATATGTGTGTATGTATTTCTCTATAGGTGTATATGTGTAGATATGGGAATATACATATAATTTCTGTGTAGATGTGTGTGCATGTGTATATATGGATTCATAGGTATATAGGGAGATATAGGGATGTAGATATAGATAGGGGTTAGGATATGTGTAGAGGTGTGTATGTGTATGGATTGTAAAAGAAGGACCTAATTTTCTCTTAGTAGTGTTTTATTCAAATTTCTCCTCTAGGATTCTCCAATTGGAAGTGAGTTTAAATAATTTTAAAGGTAAATTTTAAATTGGTAATTTAATTTGAATGGAAATATATTACCCCTTAATAATCATTATTGATGATAAAATTATTTAAATTGGAACAACCTTTGATAATAATTAGGTAGGTATCTAAAAACAGTCACGAGTTTAATTCATGAACAAGACTCAAACGAATAGATGTCAACTGAATAATTAAACAAGAAAACAGAATGTGTACGAATATATAGAATATTGTAAAAGAGGGACCTAATTTTCGGTTAGTAATCTTTTATGCAATTACCTCCCCTAATATTCTCCAATTGGAAGTGAGTTTAAATAAATAATACGGAGGTAAATTTTAAATTGATAATTTAATTTAAATTGAAATATATTACCCTTTAATAATCATTATTGATGATAAAATTATTTGAATTAAATAATCCTTGATAATTAGGTATCTAAAAACAGTAATGAATTTAATTTTTGAACAAGAATCAAACGAATAGATGTCAACTTAACAAGCTATAAGAAAAAAGTTTAGGAAAATAAAAAGGATTACTAGATATAAAATGAATTATTCTTTCAATGTACTTTCTATGATTTTTCCAATCAACTATTTCATAGAAAATTCCCAAAACTCCAACAAACTTCAAATTAAATTCGTCGTAGATTTTTTAGACATTTAGATATATATATCAAACTCTAACCCCCAAATATACCCTTTAAAGTAATGCGAAATAACAGCATCTAAGAATTTGAGTGAATCCTGCTCTCAGGGACATGATTTATTATTTTATTGTTAACTGTATCTTCCCCCTTTAAGTCGGCCTTCTCCCTCACCCCTTACCCATCTATATCTAGATAGCATACGTTAAGTTAAGCGGCGTCTAGCCTGCACAGAGTGGGGTTAAGGATAAGGAATAGAAAATGGTACATCTAACTCACTCATATCTTCTCTCCCACCTCACTTCCTCACTTCGTTAATTTCACATACGCTTGGTGCGGTCCGTCAAAAATGTGTAATGTTTCTCTTCATTTTTCATTTCAACGTTTGGAAGTAAAGTCTGATGATCCAGAGCCCTTTAAAAGGGTTGTGGTGAAATAACTTATTACATGGAACCTTAAAGGGGTCTGTTTTTATTCAAACATATTTACTCTGAATTTACATTGAGCTCTCTGGATATCATCCTCCTTGGGTCTACCCATACGGATTACCTAGTTTTGCATAAACTATATATATATATATATATATATATATATATATATATAGACATGATTCATTGAATAATTAAGTCAAGTTTTGTCTAACATGCAGCTAAAATATGTACAATATATATATATATATATATATATATTTGTATATATAATTAAAGATATTTGTGTAGGTACAAAATTTAATGATCGAAATAAAAGTATAAAATTTTATATTACAAGACATATTAAAACAGTATTAAATAATAAAAAAAAAACAAAAAAAAACATCTCAACAACAAAGGGGGGGGAGCAACCGGTTTCGCTCTTGTTTTAATATGTCTTGTAATATTAAATTTTATACTTTTATTTCGATATATATAATTATTTATTTAAAAATTTGATTTCAACTCGCTACATAAGAGTTCTTTTGTATCGAGCACTATTTTTTAAAAACAATAACAAAAATACTGAAGAACTTTGGATTATTTACCCAACGAGTTCTTTCCTAGTTTCTATATATTTTCCACACACACACCCACACACACACACACACACACACACACACACACACATATATATATATATATATATACCAGGTATAACAGCAAAATTGATATCTTACTGGAATTTTCAAAGGTTTTTAAACACTATTGAACTCTACTTAAAAAAATAATAATGTATTTATTTCTAAACTGATGATCCCTCTTCCTGTTGTGACTTCCTGATTTAGTTTTCCTACAGTTTCCTTTTTTTAAAAAAACTTATTCACCGTTCTCTTGAAGGTTCTTGAATGGACTTTGCGGATGGAAGCCAGAGCCTGAATTTTGGTACTATTACTGAAGGGCTTAAGGATCTTTTTCCTCTCACCATTGCTCATTTGGGAAGACAGTGAAGATGACACAAAAGAATTTTAACTTTTCTATTTCTAGCTGAATAACTCGAAAGGTTTTCAGTGATTCTTACGACAAATTGTGTCAAGATGCCTAAACATGTTACCTGAAAACCTGGAGAAAGAAAAAAGAAAATCAATTAGTTTATTTTTGTTTTTCGACATTAAACATTTATGGGATGGGCAATCATTCCATTCTGTTACATGATTTGGACAATTTTGATGTTACACTCGGTACCTATATATATATATATATATATATATATATATATATATATATATATCGTCAGGCGTCAGCATGAAACAGCCTGTTGCCTCTGAATGTTGACATCAATGTTCAGTTTTATATTTATATTTACATATGCTCTACCTCTGATATTGAGCACTTTATCCGATAAACACAGCACACATTAAAAATATATATATATATATATATATATATATATATATATATATATATATATATATATGTGTGTTGTGTGTGTGTGTGTGTATGTGTGTGTGCGTATATATATCATCTAAAATGCAAAACGAATTACTGAAAAAGCTTTATTCACCTTGCGCGATATGTAATGGAGCCGTCAGCGTAGATATGAAGCATTCGGTTTGGGACAGTCACCTCGTGAAAGGATGCCTTTTTCTCGTTTGGGAAATACAAATCTGGAACCCAAATTTTGTCGATAAGTTTTACATCCAGTTCAAAATATTTGGCATCAATGAGGCCAAAGAACATGAGCCTTTCATCTCTCCATTCTTGTGTTACGAACATGCTGACCGAATAATCCTGCAATCAAATGAGAAATAATTCACCTGTAAATTGTGAATATAAAAAATGAATATTGTAGATAAAAATATTTTTCAATAAATTGTATTTTTCTTTTTTATTTTTGTCATCTTCCAAATTCTGCGTACCATTCTTACATGTTAAAATTGAAAGATACATCCAACTGTATAAAATTGTTTATCTTAAGCGAATTTTCTTAAATTTGGTAAAGCAAATACAGGCACCCCACGATTAATCCGCATTCCATTAATGCATTTTCGATTAGTGCGCTAAAAGTTTTATATATCAAAATTACATTAGTGCATATATAATACTCGATTAATGCGGTAAAACATTCCCTCAATTTAACCATAGTAATTGAAAATTGATTTTTTATAGTTACCAATGTACACATTAGACGCACTTACCGAGGGATTGCTGTACATTTTAATATCAAACATTCAAAATGAATTGAGATGAACACTGGATATATGGCAGGCTGAAAAAGGAGAGTTTTTGTTTACATCATTTTAGGATATAAAACTCAGTCTAACTGACACAAAGCCAAAATTCTGATGAATAGGAACGGCCATAAAAACGCAACTTTGTCGTGGGAATGGGCTAACCATTTCAAATATCAACGTTCTTGAAATCAAAGTGTTTGCTGAGAAAACTACAGAAAAATTAATGGTCAAATTCTTGTCTGGTGAGTTACAATTCCCGTGTGATCACCGAAGTTAAGCAATGCCGAGTCTGGTCAATATCTAGATGGGTGACCTCCTGGGAATACCAAGTGAAGCAAGGTTGGATGTCCGGCTGGTGTAATGGATACTGTCTTTGAATTGTCAATCGTTGAGCTGAGTTCGAAATCCAGTCCGGTTCGTCAAATTTACTTACGCGTAAATAATCTTTGGAATAGTATGAATCCATCTATTCTCTCAGCAATGGGTTAACTTGTGCCACTCAATCATTATGAAAAGATTATTCTTAGAATCGAAAAATATTTTCTAGCATTAAATAACCTGAACATGCTTGATAAGCCGTAGTAAACAAATCAATCAATCAATGATACATTCTTGTCTGATTTAGAAGAACATATCTACGGCTATATGTTTTGTACTGACACATACCTACACGTATACATATGTTACCGTCAATTTTAGAGAAATGAAGTTTAAAATCAAAATATTACTAGGACTCCATCGTAATAAGATATTACATTATATACACTTAAAACTTGTTTACTTCTGTGAAACTATATAAAAAGCAAAGGTGAAGGAAATTATGGAAAAAAAACCGTTTATTAAAAAGTATTGCACCGAAAATTGTGAATCCACTTCTATATGTTTTAATTTTTAATCATTTCACCAAAAGCATAAGACTGCTACTTCTACTGTGATTAATATGTAGATAGTTAGGAGCAATGAAAGACAATAAGAAGACATTCAGGAGGAAAAAAGCAAGATAAAATAACAGACATCACAGAGTCAGAATATGACGATTGGTATTCCATTTTAATTTTTAAAGATCGTAATTGACAGAAAAGCAAGACGATGAAAGAGTGTCCCACAAATGAGAAGAGCGGAAAAAGTACTAGAATATAACTTAAGGTTACATCGAGCTATTTTAATAGTAAAAAGATGAAACCTAATAGCCAAACTCGTAGTATTCTTAAATGCATGCGGTGAAGGTGTGGAGCAAAGATGGAAATTAACTCCAAGACAGTCAAACATCGAATGGTAAGAAAAAAAAGATTTCTGCGTTGACGGATTCGTGCATCCTTCCTCCTAATAAATTAATGCTTTTTAACATTTTTCAAGAAACGGGTCGCGTTCGTGCCAACAATAAATAAAAAAAACAAGCATTATTCATGATCCCTTTGAAGGGTATTTAAGCCAAAGCAGTCAGGAGATGAAGACTAACAGTTTCTGACACCAGGTTTAAAAAGAAATTCCCTTAATCGTTCACCTGTTTTTTTCTCCAATCAACATAAAACTTATACTTTTCCCATTACTTCACATTCTCCCCTCTTCTTTCTCACAGAAATGCCAGAAGAAATCATATTTCTTTCCATCTGAACAAATAACAACAAAACAAGGACTGTATGAACTTTAACACGTAAGCAAGCCAAGAAAATTTTAGTTGTAGAGAAATTAAATAAAACTATTTTATATTTTTATGTTTAAACAGTCTTTTCGCCTATTTCTTCGTTGTGCCGTTCTGGGTATGACGATAAACTACATCCGGGTTCTAGTTAAGATCACCTCCAAAAGCAAGACCTCTGCTCAGGAGGTTTTGCGGAGCGTGGAACCACCTCTTAATTGCTGGTGCCCTCAGGTCTACCCTAACCCGGGATGATAGCACCTTTTAGGGTCACTGCTTTGGGCAAACAGTTAACACCCAAACTTGTGTAAAATAGGTTTTAATACCAGAAATACTTTGTAATAAAAAAATATTACCAGCAATAAATTTTAACGAAAAATTATTATCAGCAATACTTAAAAAAATAACAACAATACAAACAGCTATATATTCTTTGGAAAAAATGTGACCAGCTATAAATTTTCTAAAGGAAAAATATTCCTAGAAATAGATTTTACACAAAAAACATTGCCAGCAATAAATATTTTGTCGGCATTAAATAATCCTTTGAGGTTGATATGCCGTAAAACAAAACAAACCATCTTTGTAGTTGGTTGATTCAAATCCTGAAAAAGACTTCTCAGAAAATATTCATAGAAAAGACAGAAGCCACGCCATGGTGTTAGAAAAGTCATTGAAATCGAGGTGCTAGGTCAAAACCGATAATATTACAAATCATTTTGTCGAGGAACTCTAGATATATAGACTGGGTATTAACACAGATAAAGCAGCAATATTCAATGCATGTGCTAATGATATATTTATTTAAAAATATGTAAGATGGATTCAGAGAACCAACTATCTTAGCAATAGACCTAGCCGTTGATTCAATATAATCTCTCCACTTCGTTTCAGTAGAAAATATAAGAACAAGAACGTGTAATGAGTTGCTCTCTTAGAGTTTAACACTAGTCAGGGCAAAAGTGTTTCTTTTATGATGATTAAACGGCAGCAGTCTCGTCTTGGAGGCGTTAAAATGAATACAATTGACTTTATTTATGAGATGGTCACACATTTGGAGTTTAGTTAATACTGCACATCTATGACCATATGCTTTCACTAATTTGTCTCATAGTTCCGAGATAATTTTGTATCATTTCCTCTACTGCAAACTGCAAAACAATTACCAACTTGAAGTTTCGGTCATTGACTAAAGATTCTTAATAAAATTTGAGATCGAAACTTTAGGAGCGCCATATAACGATCTCAAATTTTTCGGGTTCCTTTTTGCAGCATTACAAGAAGTAGGACATGAACCCCATAATCTACGAGAAGAAACAGTTTCCTATTAAATAATACATTTAAACAATTTTTCATGTAATCTCGCCAGAGAACATCCCACAGATTAAGATGTTCAAATCCAAAGAAAGATCTGAAATGTAATCGATCTTGACTAAGGATCTCGTCCATTTCTCACGGATGGGGCGTGGCTTCCAACTGTCATTTCGACAAATATTTTAAACTGTCCTGACGAGCTTTATTCCCTGATGTCCCGACTACATGAATCTAAGCATGTTGCTAGATTGTCATCTAGGCTGCATCCTTGTACTGTTGAAATAGAAACTTCTTTTCTCGCACTTCCCACCTGTGGAACTCCCTTCCGATTACTTGCTTCCCTGATAATTACAATCTTCAAAGATTTAAATGCAACATCAATCACCATCTTCTGTCTTCTTAAATCCATTTAATCTTTTCTCCTTTCCTCAGTCCTACCTATTCTCAAACTTCTATTTCTCTTTCACTCCTTGTAGCACCCCCCCCCCCCGCGTACTAATGACACTTCCGCCTCGTTTGGGATGAAATGATTAAAAAAAAGCTGTTACGGAATTTATCACATCTGACAAATTTATGCTCTCAGACATACTTTAAAAACAGAAGCAACTTTACGTTCATTGATGAAATAAACTCTTAAACAAATAACACTTGTCCTTATAACAGGTTCGATTGCGAATGGCTCGCCTAGCATTATGGATCTTTTGTTGCAGGGTGGGGAGTGACAGTAGAAAAACATGAATGACCCCCCCGCTTCACATGAACGATGGGCCACTTTTTGCTTGGACACTTTCATAATAAAATCATCAATTATCTGACATATAATAACCACTGTTATTTGAAAACCGACAATCATGGTGTATTTGATTTGCCAATTGTAACCAAATGTCGTTTTATGCGGCAGACTTAGAACGATAGGAGACTTACAGGAAATAGTATCATTCCAAATATTTTAGAAAGTATACTCTTTTATTTATCAATTTCAATAGCAGAAACCACCATCTCTTGTGTTTCTGTGTCTGACAGATCGAACAAATTTACAATTAGCTGCCATCGTGACAAGTTAAGAAAACAATAATGCGGAAGAATAAGGGATATTTGTTTCCCTTGCAATATTTCCATATTTCCTTGAAATATTCCAGGTATATTTTTCGAAATCATTTTCGATTATCTTTGGAGATAATAATGAAAGAGGTGTATCCGTAACTTGCCTAAGGGTATTTGCGAGTAAGTGAATATAACGAACCCAATGTGAATTGAAACTCAGCTCTCCGATTAACAATTCAGAACCATTAACAACACCCAAGTACACTGCATCTGGTATTCGCAAGTGGTCACCCATCTAGGTACTAACAGAGCTCAACGTTGCTTAACCTTTTTTTTCTCTTAAACTTATGAATGAAGAGGTGCCAGTCTGTCTACCATAGCTATAGAAAAAAATAGATTCATAGGTTTCCCAATGTAATTTGCAGGAAAGTGAACGTAACATACACCCATGCATAATCCCTGTGTAGTAGTGGAATCCCGCCTTCTTGCTTGGGGTTAAATGATTATCTATCTATCTATCTATCTATCTATCTATCTCTCTCTCTCTCTCTATATATATATATATATATATATATATATATATATATATATATATATATATATATATATATAGTAATAATACAGAATGATAATCTGTATGTAATTTCCAGGAGGATATAGATCCAAGGAGAGAACTATGCCAAAAGACAGAGCAAAATAATTATTAATTAAAATATATCAAATTATTAATTATGGGATATTAAATGTTTGATATTTTTTATATATATGCAGAAAAGATGACCTGAGAAAAATACTGAGATACATGAAGGCAAATGCTTTTTGTGCATCCAAACACTTCGTCCAAACGGGATTAACGACACCCAGTGTGACTGAATATTTTAATTTTGTAATATTTTTATTTCCAAAACATATATTATATTTGTGTGTAAGTATATTTATATAAACTTTCTCTCTTAATTATTTTCTTTCGTTAGTCCTTGATCATATATTCTAATTTGCCTGCTTTTCTATTTTTCAAATCAATCATGAATTTCGAAACTGCTGAAATGCGGTTATTAGACAGGAATCGACGCCTCGAAAACAAGACTACTTAACAGGTTGCCTTGCAAAAAAAATCTCAGTGAATTAAGTGTTTTCTCAAATCGCTTGATATGCAAGTCTAGAGTTTGGCGCAATCTCTTTAGATTTGCATTAACAACAATTACTTTATCGTTGGAGATAAATTGGAATCTTACTGTGTGTAAATTGGGTTTAATTTAATTGATGCGTTCGTATTTGGATACACGCAAAAATGTAGGTATGTAAAACAGAGAGAGCTTACATGAAAATAACTATTCCAT